ATACATATTGTATATAAAGATGGTGTTGTGATACATATTGTATGTAAGGATGGTGTTGTGATACATATTGTATGTAAGGATGGTGTTGTGATACATATTGTATTTAAGGATGGTGTTGTGATACATATTGTATGTAAGGATGGTGTTGTATACATATTGTATATAAGGAATACATATTGTATATACATATTGTATGTAAGGATGGTGTTGTATACATATTGTATGTAAGGATGGTGTTGTATACATAATGTATATAAGGATGGTGTTGTATACATATTGTATGTAAAGATGGTGTTGTATTACATGTCAGTACTGTAGGTATGGTTTGTATTTTATTGTGGTATAAATATGATGTAAAGATGATATAATTTGTATTGTAAGAATGTTATCTACTGTGTTGTAAAAGGATACAATATTGAATATGGAATGTTGTACATGTGAGTGTGAACCATTCAAACTCGGAATGTTGAATGTTTTTGTACAATGTTTGTCGTGGTACGCAACATTTAAATATTAAGAATGCATAGAGAGTGGAGCTAGGGTTTAGAGGGCAGAGGGTGGAGCTAGGGTTTAGAGGGCAGAGGGTGGAGGTAGGGTGTAGAGGGTAGGGGGCAGAGGGTGGAGGTAGGGTGTAGAGTGTAGGGGGCAGAGGGTGGAGGTAGGGTGTAGAGTGTAGGGGGCAAAGGGTGGAGGTAGGGTGTAGAGGGTACGGAGCAGAGGGTGGAGGTAGGGTTAGAGTGTAGGGGGCAGAGGGTGGAGGTAGAGTGTAGGGGGCAGAGGGTGGAGGTAGGGTGTAGAGGGCAGGGGGCAGAGGTTGGAGGTAGGGTGTAGAGGGCAGGGTGATTGTAGAGGTTAGAGAGTAGGGAAGAGTGAGTATGGATAAATTCTGCAAAATTTTATTGAAATGGGTTCAGTGGCTTTTCAGAAATAGTAGCAAAATATAGACGCATGACGGAGAAAAGGGGTCACAATTTGTCACAATTTGTCGCCATGACATGTAAACGCTTCAGAATACCATATTTTGATTAAAGTATAGGAGGTAGAGGGTAGAGGGTTCTAGCATAAGATACACCCCAAATATCTCTAAACATCAGTCCGGTTGTTAATTAACTTACTGTAATTTTTGGTATGTGAACCACGTGATTCACCTTGCTCTCTAGCTCTACGTACTGATGACGACCCCTGGGTTGGGTTACAGAACAGAGGAGTCCAAATGTATAAGCACACATGCTATTTGGTGTCCGACGAAACTGAAACTAATATATCTTTCATAGTACAGATAGTTCTCAACAAGTTTTCGTCAGACGGATATAAACAGTAAGGCGTCATCACGCAGTTAGGATTGGAATATTTCGTTAGAAAGTGGTGTCAAAAGTCACAACAATATCTTATAAGTGCTTTTTCTCACTATTGTTATATAACTTATATGTAGATTTCTGTTAATTGACACAAAATACACACCCTTTATGGTATTGACAGAATAACATCCCGATGCGCATACAAATGTGAGGAGTTTGATGTAGTTGTGTGTTATCAGAAGTGAACACTATTACCGGTATATAGCTATTTATTCTCTAGCCCACCTGCCTGATAAGTGAGCTTATGCCTTGATGAAACATCTGACATCATTTTAACTGTTTAATTGATATACCGTGTTGCCTCGCCCACCGCCATTTTTTCTCCATTCAAACCACTTGTTTTCGATAACAAATATACCCAGGTTCATATGCAGGGTTGAAGGGTTGCATGACGCAACTCTTAATGTAATAACGGCGTTAATGTAATAAATGTTACATTAAGCGTTGCGACCGTTACGCTTAATGTAATAAACTTATCTTTATTACATTAAGAGTTGCAGTTGTTACGCTTAGAGTAATACAAAATAAATTATTACACTAAGCGTTGTGGTTGTATTTAAATTACCGCTAATGTAGCCATTGTTATACTGTGACGGAAGTACACTGCGTGTCGATTACAAGACAATATAGCAACAATATGCTATAATGGTGTATGTTCCCGTCAAGGTTTGGAGGGGCCTCGGTGTCGGTGGCCGAACGGTCTAGGTCGTTGCGCCCCGTGATCGTCGAGGCCGATCACCTCCTAAGTTTAAATCACATCTATCTTGTTGATCATAAATGGTTTGTGTAAAATTTGTTTTATTATTTAGCCAGATTACATTGTATCTTCAACTGTGATCTGTGAGGAGACTAGGTTTCCATGAATACAATATTGCGATGTTATGGTATGCAGTGTTGATCATTAAAAAGATGATTATATACAATTTGATCACGTGTAAATTCTTATTCTTAATCTAAAAGGTACAGCCAAAACCTGTGACCTTCCAAAAAAGCGAATATTTTTTCAAACACAATATGTTGGTGTTCAGAAATATTGTGATGCATTTTGACTACAAAAGAAGCTATTTTTTTAATAAATGCAACTATATCTTAGCAATAACATAACAAAGGAGCAACACAAAGCAATAACCCTTTGATTCCGTGACCTTGAAAGTTGGACAAAAAAAGGGTGGTGTTGTATTGTCTATTAACGTCCGCGCAACAGCTCAAGTCATTTGCAAATACTATCATAGGTACATGGCATGCATGACAGACTCAATACATGTACCCAACCCACTACCCACACCGTTATACTGACTCCAGGCCGTTCAGTTCCTTGCTCCTTACAGTATTAATGTTTCAAGGGGGAAGATTCAAGTGCCGTTTTAAACGTCTTTGATATGACACGGCTGACGCGGGTCATCATAATGTGTATGCATACCAAAAGTGAGGTAACTGGCATTTTAGTCACATGCAAGGTTTGATGGCATTCTAGTCATTAATCTAATCATAACTGAAGCTATCATCGGAAAACAAAAGAGCTAACGTCCATACATCCGGCTGTCGGGATGGACCGACGAACAAGGTGATTCCTATAGGGCTTCCGCATCTCGATGTGGGGCCTTAATACTACCCAAAATGGCGTAACAATACAAAACAGAAGACGCAATATGTCCCCCTTCATTTCGGACTTTATTACACTAAGGACCTTCTTAAATTTGTCAATAGTACAGTTTCGGCGCTTAATGTAATAAAAAAAATAATTATTACATTGCCCCGCTTAATGTAATAAAAATAACTTTATTACATTAAGCGTAGCCGTTGCAACGCTTATTGTAATAATTATTACATTGAGCGCCGTTATTACATTAAGAGTTGCATCATTGCAGTTTTAAAAAACATGTTTGTGAAGTCAATTTTTGTAGCAACCATTGAACAACTACTATTAATAACCAAAAGGTACAGAGTGACGTCATCATGTGGAAACCGTTCAAATGAACGACCTTCATCCATTTTCTTTATCCGTGGAGTGAAAGGTCTCAATGATCTTCAAAACACCAAGAAACCTAAGGTCAGGAGAAAAGAAGAAACAAAAGATTCCATGGGGTTCCTGGCGCCAGCATTGCTTGTGATCTTTGTTCTTTCGTTTTGTTTTCTTCTTTCCGGTTTTTTCTTCTCTTTAATACATGGAATTTGAACATTCTTTATAAAAAAACAATAATAATCCTTAACTCTCGCTGCCATTTTGTTTTTTATCCCAAAGTCAAAAGAGGAATTTACATAAAACCCAACAAAGATCCATCAAGTACTTCCCAAAAAATAAACTGGCGGACAAAATCAAAGATGACCGCCTGCCGGCCTTTTGTTGCGGTGTGACCAGTCTTAGAATTAAATCAGCACAACCAGGGACCATGGGAAATGTTCTTCTAGTACTTCTCAAAAAGTAGTGATAACAAATTTGAACTGTTGAAATTAGAGACTGCTAACTGTCGGCCATTTTGCTTGTCTTGATCAGTCTCAAAATTACATGGGCACACTTCAGGGTCATGGGCAACATACATATGGAGTTTGAGGAATATCCTTCCAGTGCTTATTAAACTTCAATTGTCAATAAACAATATCTAAGATATTCCACCACTGCTTCCCATGAATCAGCAGTAAAAACTTAAACTATCACAATCCAAGATGGCCGAGTGTTGGCTATTTGTTTTACTGAGTAATCTTAAAATCAAATGGGTACAGTTTTGGATCATGGAAAACACAATTCTCAAGAAACAGGGGATAGGCAGTAGAGAACCTGTCTGTCACATATTTTCATACAATATAATCAAAATAATCATATCAGACAAATTTATATCTTACCTTTTCTGCCATCTATAAAAACCTGAATACTTGAAGCTGATTTCATTTTTCTGATCATACACTTTGTCAAAATCCACCTTTTTTTTAAATGTGTCCAAGGGTTTCATTATAATATGAACTAAACTGCATTTTAAAACTCTCTCTCTTCTACATTATTGAGAAAACTAGTCAGTGGGTTTATAGTAAAATATTCCAACAACAGGCCCAAGGAGCCTGCAAGGTTCGCCTAGCTAAATCAGTTATTCAGACATTTAATAAAGAATTTCAAATATGACTAATTTCAGTCATAATTTCCCAAGGGGTTCTGGCCTTGAGGTCCAACTGAAGTCGAATTCTCTATTCATAGAGACTGTTTCTGACCAAACAAGCTAATATTCTTGTTCGGGGCCCACTCCTTCTGCCCCTAATCAGGGCCCATCCCTCCTGCCCCAGGTGGACAGGATCCACCATTTACTCACCAAAGAATGCTTAAGGCCAAATTTGGGCAATATCCATTCATTCCTATAGGAGGTAAGGACTTTTCTTTTTAATTCACCCTTCTGGACCCTCCCCCTCCCCCTGAGGAAGCCAAGACCTAATGTCCATAAAAGACTGATAGCCTGTCACCAAAGAAAGCCTCGGACCAAATTTGGGCAATATCCCTTCATTCCTACAGGAGGAGTAGCACTCTATTTCCCTTATCTGGCACTGCCCCTCCAACCCCAGAGGGTCTCTTGGACCAGGTGAGCTAATAAAACTGGACAGACAGAGAGACAGACCACACCTGACCATCTAATGACAGTAGAACAATAAAACACAACATTTAACAACATGATTTATTGTCAGGTATTCTTCATAATTTGTGTTCACAGTACAGTACCTTGTTGTGATCTGTGGTAACAAAACATTTTACAGTAACCATTATGACGTGTACCTACCTAATTCTTTGAATCCCTACCTACAGTGGATATCATTATTACTAGAAAAATAATTTGTAATTTCTGAATCCTTAGGAAGTGCACCTGATCAGTAATCAGTCTCTTACAAGTGTACCAGGAATATCAATACATGTTAGAGATCACAGTAAAGCACAAAGTCCGTCCTTATTGAAATTATCAATGTTCTCCATTCTCAGCATTCTAGATTTTTTTTGTTAAACTTTACATAAACTGAGTTCTTTTGTACACATAAGATTAACAAATGTAAGAGCAATGTAGTTTTAATTACAAAGCTCAGAATCAATGATGTCACTTCAATTCCACATGCTTTCAATCCAGTCATCCATGACAGATTTGGTGCATAATCATAGTATATAAAGCCATCAGTTGAAGGTATTCGTCCGCTCCGTCCATCAAACACTTGTCCACGACCTGTAACAAGTAAGAAATCAACATAAAGCTTTGCTATCTATTTGATATAATGAGTTTTATTTCATATGAAATGTTATGAAACAACTTTTTAAATTTTTTTTCAGACTTGGCATGCAAGAACAAGCCATTACAAGCAAAGATTAAATCTTTAAGACAAGTTTCATAACATCTCCTACGAAAGGAAACAAAATCAAAAAACTTTACATCACACAACTCAAAAAAAGGTTATTTTTTGACAGATTTTTGAGTCAACCTGTGGAGGAAAAAACTCAAATGGTGGCAGCCATTTTGTTGTGTCATTGTCCATTCCTGACAATGTAATTAACCACACTATGATACCATAATCAATCCTTGACTGGTACAGCCAATGGGGAATGCTCTAGAGTATATCACATGTGTGTATAAATGCTCTAAATAGTGCTATTTAGAAAAAGAAAACTGTTCTCAAATGTCAAGCTCAAACATTAAGTACAGTAACCTCCAAGCTGTGTTTTAATCCATTTACACAACGATGTGGTCAAGAATGCATACATGTACTTGGCGTTATTCTTAAACTACCAGATTTATGAAAACTACAAAAATTATTGAAATATGATAAAAGTGCGCCTCCTCCACTAGATTTTCACATTTCTTTCGATCACTTTGGATTTTCCTGTCATATATCTCGGTCTTTCTGATGTCTTTCTTGATTGCCCTAATGACGTTTTATGTGTTGACGGGTCATGAAGAAGGTAGTAATAATAATAATAATAATAATCGTAAGTCATATAGCTCCTGGGTTTCAAAACGCCCTTGGATCACAAAATAATTTTAAAAGAACAAAGAAATTGTATGATACTCATTTAATAAATTTCTTGGCTCTACTTAATTTTGAAATTGTATTAAGAGATGTTCTTTACTAGTGTGTCTTTTGTACAATCTTAATTGACCTCTTTAGCATCACAAAAGAATTGTTAAAGGACAAAGAAGTTGTATGATACATGCTTAATACATTACTTGGCTCTACCTTAATTCTGAAGTAGTACTAACAGACATTTTTCACAAATGTGTCTTTTATACAATCTTCTAGCTTAACCTAGTTTGCTGACAAATCAGTATCACAAAGTTTGAACCTAATACCGCTTTTAGGCAGTTTCAGCTGCTACAAGTATTGGTGAATCCGTTGGTAGAACAGTTACACTGAAGACATATGTATTTCTGGTAGACGTTATTCTCAGACTGTGTTTGGCCAAATTCACAAATAGTTTGTGAGTGGGTAGGCTCTGCAATAGGTACTTACTATTTTGCATTTTCATCATTTCTAGCTTATACAACAGGGTAATTGGTTTTAACTTACCGCAAGCTTTTCAAAGATGACTGCTTTCTGTTTGTCTGTCAGATCCTCTTTTTCTATCAGTTTCTCATGCAGTTGTGTAATGATTTGGGAGGCAGAATGACCGTCATTAATCAGACCCTGTAAAAACGTAATTCATCAACAGTGTATAAACTGGTACCTTACAGAAAAAAAACAAAAAAAAACTGTCCAATATAATGCCCTATTTTTTGTAACCAAGATATGTCATGTTAAAGCTCAGTGTGATGAAACAAAGGAATAATCACGTTATACATATAAAAAGTTGTTGAACAATTTACACAGAATGCCTGAATATTCCTAGGTCAGATTAAAAAGAATGTCTGAGTATTCCAAGGTCAGATTAAAAAAGAATGTCAGATAGACAGGGTGACAGAATTCTCTTTTTTTAGCTTGATGTCTCATGATACCTTGATGATAGAGGTGGGGAACAACTGGATAATTTTAGGATAGTAGAAAATGGATGCAGATTAAGCACCTCTTTAATATAGTACAGAACAGGTCACCTTATTATAGTACAGAACAGGTCACCTAAATATAGCACAGAACAGGTCACCTTCATATAGTACAGAACAGGTCACCTAAATATAGCACAGAACAAGTCACCTTAACGTAGTACAGAACTGGTCACCTAAATATAGTACAGAACAGGTTACCTTAATATAGTACAGAACAGGTTACCTTAATATAGTACAGGTCACCTAAATATAGTACAGAACAGGTTACCTTAATATAGTACAGGTCACCTAAATATAGTACAGAACAGGTTACCTTAATACAGTACAGAACAGGTCACCTAAATATAGCACAGAACACGTCACCTTAATGTAGTACAGAACAGGTCACCTTAATACAGTACAGGACAGGTCACCTAAATATAGTACAGAACAGGTCACCTTAATATAGTACAGAACAGGTCACCTTAATATAGTACAGAACAGGTCACCTTAATATAGTACAGAACAGGTCACCTTAATGTAGTACAAAACAGGTCACCTTAATATAGCACAGAACATGTCACCTTAATATAGTACAGAACATGTCACCTTAATATAGCACAGAACATGTCACCTTAATATAGCACAGAACAGGTCACCCATATATAGTTCAGAACAGGTAACCTTAATAGAGTACAGAACAGGTCACCCATATATAGTTCAGAACAGGTAACCTTAATAGAGTACAGAACAGGTCACCCATATATAGTTCAGAACAGGGTATTGCCTAACAATAATACATCTTTACATACTTGTACTCCAGCATCCACTTTTTCGTAAGAGTCAGAGCTACAGAGTATTATCAGGTCATCTAAACTCTGATCAGGAACAACCTGCAAAAAAAACAATCACATGTCATCATTTATACATAATAGGACTGTCTGCTATTCAAAGTAATCAATTACTGAGACAATCAAGTCACAAAACATCGGTCAGCAAGGGCCCCGCTATGTGGCTAGAAATGAAGTTTTAGATTTGCCAAAGCAAACATAAGTTATCGCATGGAAAATTATTTTAACTTATCCCTATTGACCTTTGGACCTGATTGGCAATCTATCTTAAACAAGCATTTTTAGTTAAGAAGCATTGCATCAAGTTTGAGTTAGATTGGCTACAGCTAAATTGAATTATTCCACAAAATGGATTTTTATTATAGCATTAATAACCTTAACCTTTGACTTCTGGATCTGAAAAGTAATCCTTAGAAAGGACTTTCAGTCAGAAAGCATGAAGTTTGAGTTTGATTGGCCAAAAGGAACCCAAGTTATGTCAGGGAAACCATTTTTCTATTTAGAGTAACAGTAATCTGGACCATTTACCTTGGGGCCTGCAAAGCAACCCAAAGCAAGCCATTTAAGTGAGGAAGCATTGTATGATGTTTGACTTCGATAGGCCAAAGCAAACTTGAGTTATCAAAGGGAAACTGATTTTCCTACTTATAGTAACAATGACCATCACCATTGACCTTCAATCAGAAAGCTAGGATTGGTAGTAAGAGCTCGTTCCACAGGCTGACAATAGGCTGAAACTTTAACTGCATTAGGTTTATCCTAAAAAGCATGGTACTAAACTATAGCTTGGCCAGGAGAGAGAAATGATTACACCTAATATTAATAAATGCCTCTTGAACATTAAGAAAATATGAAGTAACTGGTGTGTCTAGTTCGCAATTTAATTTGATCGTTGACAATCTTGATATATTACACAAATTTTTTTTTATATGATTAAAAGTTTGGTGATTCAAAGTATTTTGTATATTTCTAGGTCAGTACTGACCATACTAAGACATTTTTAGGCTAAACATATTCAGTACGCATAGCCTATTGCGACGGCCTTTCAGACAAAATTTACCGATCCTGGCCTTCTCATTGGCTGAAATATCGAAAAGAGCCCTCTAGCGGCAATTTTCTGCGTAAATAATGCTGCGATCTTTCAAATCTTTCAAATCTAGAACGAAATATTTCCATAACATATTTATTCATTTAGCGTGTCATTGTGACATTATCTAATGCATTGGAGATCAGAAATAGTAGTAGCTATAGTGAAGATATTGTAAATTTTGTATATATATATGGAAGTCTGGTTTAATCTCAAAGAACTATGTCTTTATAGACATAATTACTGGAAGAAAAGTCTAACCATGATACTTTAAGGAAGATAGGCATGTGAATACATTTAATGTAATTACTTACACTTTAATCTATCTGAAATGCTGTGTACACCTTATCTACTTTCCTCAACTACAATTATAATTATAACACGTAAGGACTATTACTTTGCAATACATTCAAAATAAAGAAGTAGGTATAAATTCCTTTCGATTTGTCTAAATCCTCATATTGATAGGATAGTAATTGCAACATCTTGGGTATTTCAAAGGTTTAATTTAGTCAACTTCATCATAGAGCTATTTATCATTTGGCTTGTTGGCGATAAATATATGGTTGTGTGTACTTTATTTTTTTTTTTTTTATTTTTTTTTACCTATTTTGATTTGTTCACATTATTGTCGTCAAATTTGAAATAAGAATTAAAGAAGATATAAAATCGCTTAAAATTAAGAAAAATAGCCTCTGGTTCTCTTATTTTAGTAATTTTTACATTCCAAAGTGTAGGAGTATGGGGAAAGTAATATAGCTTAGCGGTTATTTGTGAACATTTTTTCAATACGTTTAGCCTTTCAGTACTTTCAGTACTTTGATTTGTGTTATTTCTAGGTCAGTACTGACCACACTAAGACATTTTTTGTATTATTTCTAGGTCAGTACTGACCACACTAAGACATTTTTTGTGTTATTTCTAGGTCAGTACTGACCACACTAAGACTATGTTGACCTACCCCAGTACTTACCACACTAAGACTATGTTGACCTACCCCAGTACTGACCACACTAAGACATTGTTGACCTACCCCAGTACTGACCACACTAAGACTATGTTGACCTACCCCAGTACTGACCACACTAAGACTATGTTGACCTACCCCAGTACTGACAACACTAAGACTATGTTGACCTACCCCAGTACTGACCACACTAAGACTATGTTGACCTACCCCAGCTATTTCGTTGATATCCATTTCTGTGATGCTTTCCTCTGCTTTAAGTCTTGAAGCACTCTGTAAGTAGGTGATGGCTTTTCTCAGATCTCCTTCAGAAGTTTTCAGTAAAGCCTTGATGCCCTAATAAAGCAAACAAAATGGTTTTTAATCAGAAAACTGTGACAACATTTATACATGAAAGTTCACTTTTTGGAAATAAACATATTAACATATTCACTGTTAATGCCAAGTTCCTGTTAATGTCAAGTTCCTGTTAATGTTAAGTTCCTGTTAAAATCAAATTCTGTTCTGATAAACAAGAGGACCATGGCCCTTAATAGTGACCTGACAATCAACAAATAGATGGACAAACCACAGAATTCAAATTTTCAGTTAAATGGTCCATTACAGTGTGCCTAAGTTGTGATAGCTGTATTCCAAACAACCCATTTTCTATCTTTTTTGGTTTCATTTAAACACATAAATACCTCTTCTTCACAGTGGATGTTTTCTTTGTCACAGATTCCTTGTAACCTCTTTGTCAGTGTTTCCTCTGATAACGGTTTAAAACGAAATTTGGCACATCTTGAAGCAATAGGCTCTATGATGCGACTGACGTAATTACATATCAAACAGAAGCGTGTGGTCTTCGTCTCCTTCTCCATTGTTCTTCGTAACGCTGCCTAGAAATAAACAACAGAATGAAGGCCTGTGGGTCGAATCGACTGATGCAAGTGGAATTTGAATAGAATTTAGGAATGTCACATGACCAGAGGCCTGCAGGCCTAATTATGCACCTGACTGGGTAAGCATTACACCAGAATTGAAAATTTTATTAAATCAATTTTATAAACTATTTCAATTTGTTCTCACAGAAAGTTATACAGATACAGTGTACTTATGGTCAACATTCCTTCCTGTTCTGCCTACCCTTTGTTTCTGTTGACATCTCCTTAACACACTAGTCAATGCTTTTAATTGTTTATTATGAATAAAGAAACATAAGCCCGAGATCAATACATGGTTGTAAGGTGTCACATGTACAGGTCAAATAACCATCAATACTTTTCATTTGTATATCTTCTTACAATGTTGATCAATGTCAAAGGTCAGTATCTTAGTAACCAAAGGACAGTATCTTAGTAACCAAAGGTCAAAGTCAAATACGTCATCAATTTCAATCAACATTTGATACTATAGATATTGATCGATTGATCATATTGTTCATCTATTTTTTTCTAAATGTCAATATACAATATCATGTCAATTTATAGTTCTTCCAGTCAATAGCATGACCCCAAACAGTTGCTTGATACTCACTATAACTGGCCCCACAAGAGAACCCAGATTTTTAAAATCATGCACAAAAACAGCACAAGATTGTCATGTTTTATGTTTGAGTGTTTAAAGCAATATGAATCAGAATAAGAATAACCTTATTTTGAGTATTATACCTTTTCTGTCTCCAGTCGGAGACTCTAATGCTTGACTAAATTATACATGTAATTTAATACAGTACCACAGGTCCCAGGAACTCACCAGCAAATAATATAACAAGTCACAGGGACTTGTAACCTAGGAAACCTGATATACAGAATGCCGTGACTTGGTGATATACAGTACCTAAACACAGAGTCATAGAGACTAAAACGATCATATGTACAAAAATAACTTGTGCATGACCAGAAAGTGTCAGTTGTGATAGTTTTCTTCTACTTCGCCCCAGTGATGAACAAACAAGAAAACGACTTTGCATGGAATAGGTAACTGTATAAAATATTTCTACTTGTAAATTATCAACGTAGGTATCAACTCATGACCAAACTTTTAAAATCATCCAGGGGGAGAAAATCTCCATTCCTCCCTGAAATATTACCTGTGCAGGCGAAGTCATAGAATCAGCCTCATCCAGAATGACGATTTTGAATGGTGGACAAGGTTTGCCACTGAAACATAAAACTTAATGAAAATCTTCAGCAAAAACTGTTTTTATATTCATTTAGAATGAAGACCTTTGAAAATTGTATTATTTCCATAGTTTTAATGATTTCTCTGCATTTACGTGTAGTATAAAAGATTTGGGTAAAAAGTTTTATGATGCCCAATTAGGGATAGGGTAGGGGTGGGTGTGTGTTGTTGGTCGGTTGAAAGATTCCATTTGTCATATTAAGTTTTGTAAGGAATGAAATCCATTATCATGTGGTAAAACTATCATCTCAGTACTTACTCAGGTCGTGTACCACTTGCAGTCTGCTGAGAAAATCTCTTTACTTTATCTCGAACCACACCTATTCCTCTCTCGTCAGAAGCATTCAGTTCTAAAACTCTACTTTTAAACATCTCTGGCCTGAAATTTAAAAAAATCAAAAGTAAATTACAAATGATAGAAAGCTTATATGTTTCATTCATGGTACTCTGTCCTTGCCAGGGCCATATGAAAATCCTGAAAATGGACAACAGAGGTGTAAAAAGACACATTTAAATACTCTCTCCAGAAAACTTCCACCTACACCAACAGCTTCACACAACATTAAGAAAAAAACACACCTAGAACAACAGTTTCAGCAGTACAGTATTACAGAAGGCCATACACTTTTGTTGATCACTTCATAGCTAAATAATATTATTTATCCTGCAACTGGCACCGCCACTGGTGAAATACACATGCCGCAGTGACAGAATACAACTGTATGTTAGAATATGTGGCAGAATTACTGCCTGAATTTACTTAAATATTACATTTAGAATTATAAATTGTTGTTGACTTATGCGATTTTACAAGTTGTAATGAACAAGATGACTTATGAAAATTCATAAAATCACTGTTATATCAGATGAAGTTTGAAACTATGTCTCCGTGCCGAGCAATTATTTTGGCATCCGTCATCAGGCCGCACAACATCAATGTCAGTTAAACACAGATTGAACAACAAAACTGTTTAAGTTTCAATAGTCTGATTTATTTTACCAATCAATGTTGCAGGATAAATAGAATACATGGTCAGTGACTTAAAACATAAGCTGTACTTTGGCTCGGGACAGAAAGACAAAAGTGGCCTGACCTTGGATTCTCTATATATTATCATATCTAATCTAAAAGTTTGAAGAAGATTTTCAGTAATTACTCATAAATTGATGTCAAATACTGCTTTGATGGTAATATGCAGGAATTTTATTTTGCCGCATTCTGTGTCATACCACAAAAGTAGATAATAAATATTAAGCATATATTGTCATAGAAGATCCAAGTCTTGGCAAATGTGTGTAACATTTATAAACCTGAATATATGGATCATGTAAAGAAGAACTCTTTTGTCTATTTTTAAAAGCATAGTAGCATAAATTTTATCCCACAAAATAGCAGAACCAGGACAAACATTAAATACTGACTGTGTATATTTCTGTATACATTCTTACCCGAACAAATCTCTGGCTGCAGCAAGGATGGTGGAAGTTTTACCTGTACCAGGGGGGCCATAGAAAAGGAGGTTAGGAAGCTGGAAATTACAAACAAGAAAATCTTAATTATTGTGTACATTTATAAATTCTGCAAGAAAGAAAAATCCTTCTAAGGCTATTAATGTATTACTCCAGTTTTAGTTCAAAATGTATCAATATATAATATATCTATGTACAACCTTAAACATTGCTGAGGAGGTCTATACCTAACAAACAACTATTTTCTGGTTTTAACCAACCAGATTTACATGAATACTTATATATATATATAAATATATATTAATTTATATGTCACACCTGTGTGTGTAAATCAACCCTTGAGCTATTTCCGTAAAATTACAGATTATACCTGCAATAGCACATCAGCAGCCAGCCAACAATATTCTTGACTTGACATGATAACTTACGCAACATTTTTCACATAAAAAAAAGAGCAAGAAGACAGAATTCCATTTATATATAATTAACAATATGTTCAGATAAGTTTAAAATAGCAATGCGCATGTTTTACATAACAACAAAAATTGCCTTTTTTTTGACGAGATAGGATCAAGTCTGGATTTATGGATAATGTGAATCCTCTCTGAAATAAGGGGCCCAAGGGGCCCGCATCGCTCAACTGGCTATTCAGTGAATTAACAAAGAATTTCAATCATGACAAAATAATTTCATCCCTGAAAAAAATTTCCTATTTGCTCAAGACCTTGTGGTCAAACAGAAGTCAGATTCATAAAAATAGCTTCAGATAAAACTTGGAAAATATCCCTGTATTGAAGACGGTTTTGTAAGAACTAATTGATCCCTCCTGCCACAAGGGGCTGAGACCTAAAATTTATACAAATTTGATTCCCCATCACCCAAGAATGCTTCAAACCAAATTTGGGTAATATCAATTCATTCCTACAGGAGGAGTAGAATTTTAAACAAGAGACCCCCAGGCCTTAAAGGTCATCTGCCTATAGAGACCTATATATGAAAGAAACCAAATAGGCCTAAAATAAATTGCTCAACTACATTACAGCTTACACAGAAAATATTGTTGGTTCATAAAGACATTTTTCTGCAAACTTGAAATAATATTCTTTATACATGCACTACATAAATGCCATTACTTAGAACATATTGCTTGTTAAAAAAGCATGCCACAGGTCAAATCTAAAGACTCCCAGCCTCTTGGTTATTGAGAAGAAGGTGCTTGCAAATTTCAACACATTTGACCCCTGTGACCTTAGAAGTGGATTTAGCTCTAGGTCTATTGGTAATTGAGAAGAAGTCGAAAATGTTTATAATGCATGACACCAGACAAAAGGCGATCACAATGGGTCACTTGAGACTTTTTCTGCTTTTTTCATTTCTTACATCAGAACATTGAAGTGATTTCTTCAGAACTGCGACAACTTCATCTTGGTATGCTACATCATCTACACTTCGAGGTCGACTGAAAGAAGAAAGTGAAGAACATATTAGCCTATAGCTAAATCACATTTCCAGTTACACCAGCACTGACATGTAGAGACAAGAAACACCAATAATTTATAACTACATATATCTAGTCAATAAATGAAATTTTCTAACAGTAACACTTACAAATATTTTTGAAACTAAGGAAACATATTTCAAAAAAAAAAAATTGACTAAGATTTCAAAAATCTTCTTCTCAAAACCCAGATACATCAGAATCAAATGCCCTTCAAGGATGGAAGCATCTCATGGTGCTTTACAAAAATAAGTCTTACATTTCTCTCTGGGTAGGTTAACTTTATTATATTTTTTGAGAAACATTATATTTTTTAGCATAAGATTTATTTCTCAATAACTTTGTAAGAATCATCAGTATAGGAGGAGTTTTATGGTATGCATGTATTGAAACTGAAAACTATCATCAATGTCATAATTTCTTTTTCATGACACATGAAAGCTAACTTTTATATCTAATATTGCTTATCTCAGTTGACAGTCAAGGCTGCTAGGCCTCTTGTCTTATATGCACATGTACATGTATTTAAAAAACAAAAGCATGAACTTATTTCAAAACAGATTTCAAATCCTTTCCATGGAGGTTTATGTATGTTGTTTGGTCTTTTTGTGGTGTAAACTTCGGTCCAAGCTTTAAATATCCTTGCAAGCAGTTAATCTTGATGATTGCTATTTACACTGAACATCCTACAGATGCACAGCATCTAAAAACACCATAGATAATCAGAACCCTTTGGACTACCCTGTATTATACATCTTTGAAATGAAATATTAATTTCACATCAAATCAAATTGAAATATAGAATTTATTCCACTTTACAAAAGAAGCACAAGACTCATAGGGCTCACCTGGTGCAGTTTGGTGAAATTGACCAATTTAAACTTAAGGAAAAGCATTTACAACACTTGTATCTATTTGCGCTATTAATCACCGTCAAGGGGGTTAAATGCACTGCTTGTACAAACTTAAATTTGTTTCAACCAAGGATGCTTCAGATCAAATATGGAAAAAATTGACTCATTTCAACACATTGTAATTCCACTATTTGGGCCCGTCCCTCCCGCCCCAGGGAGCTGAAACCCACTTTTCATACAAAACTGATCCTCAGCATGACTCAGACCAAATTGTGATGGAATCAAGGCATCCATATTATGAATATAAAGAATTTGCCCTCTTTCCAAAATTGGGCCCTGCCCGTCAAGCCCTAAGAGGCCAAGGCCCAACATTTACAAAAAATTATTCCCGATCACCCCAGAATGCTTCAGACCAAATTTAGACAAAATCCAATCACTTCTGCAGGGGGAGTACGATTTTAAAGAACCTCCTCTATTTATCCTATTTTGCCCCAACCCTCAAGCTGAGGGGGCCAAGGCCCATCATTTATATAGAATTTATTCCATTTCCCAAAAGGATGCTTCAGACTAAAATCTGGGTTAAATCTGCAGTAGGAAAAGTTTATGGACAAATGATGGACAAATAAGGACGTCTGAGTATCCCTATAGATCGTTTTGACCTTTGCCCTTTGGGCAAGCGGAGCAAAAAATTAACCTATTTACAAGCAAAATTCTTTGAGTCGACTATTAGTGACAACTACTGCATAAACAACATTATTGTGGGCTTTTTGGCGATTCTTACTATTTTTCAACCCATGGAACCTGTTTGGTTTTCTTTGATTGTTCTTCTTTATCTCCACTAGAAGATGTGGACTTCTCCTTTGCTCTCTCCAAAGCAGCACTACCTCCTTTCAAAAATGCATGCATCTTTTTCTTGACAATGCAAGTTGTTATCTGGAATAGAAATCTGCTAACATGTTTTTTTTTTATTAATACATGTCCTAGATATGTGGATGATAGTCATGTATATGAGGGATAGTCACAGCTTTGAGTAATCAGTTATTTACTCAAATGCAGGGTCATTTCAAATAGAAACACATAAAGTTCCTTTAAACAACAGAAAAGAACCATGGTCCGATAACCAATGCAACATTGTACATTTTTCACAAAAATTTGATAATCAAGTTGTCTCACTTTATAAAAATCACAATATTTAAATGAGATTAGACACAAGTTATCACAACTTAGAAATGCCTTCTCCCAAAATTTACATTTCAATGTATCTTATATATCAATAGTAGTACACTTTCATCAAAACTGGTTTGCTATATGTATATATTTAAAAACTGAGGAGTTGAAAACAGAATAGAAATTGAGCAAAGCCAGGGAAGAAGTAAGGAAGAAAAGGAGACATCTAATAATGAAGTAAAGGTATTTACAGATGACCTCAAAACCCAATACTGGTTATAATAAAAGTCTGACAGCATTAAAATATTGCATTTTGCTCATCAAGCAGGTTGTGAAAACCATAAAGAAGAACATTTAATAATGAGATAAAATTTCACGCTGCCTTATTGGCTGAATTTCATCATTTCAGTTTTTGGTACTTGCATCCCTTCATCTACTTGTTCCGATGGTGAGACATGAAATTTTCATAATTCATGAATAAAAAATCCTCATATTTCACTTGCTTCCATCACAAAATTCACATTCCTTACAGGTTATAATTTTTCGCACAGAAACATCATGCTGAAAGCACATCTGTAGCCAGAATCTGCATCAAAGGAATACTGATCTGCAGACGCCACAAGGGTGAATGACACCATGTTGAATGGACTCGCAATTGAGTTTGTTACTAAATACTGAGTGTACGTGGTTAACAAAATTATGTAATAATGAAATTAAAAAGATTGTCTGAAATGAAGAAAATATATTTGAAAACATTCATTTCACTGACTTACATGATTCGCAATCCATTTTTTCAGTATGCACGGAAAAAAGTCACATTATGTGACCGGATCTCACCTGCATGTTTAAGTCTGCCCTATATACGCATGTCAGATTTTACTATACATCTGCCTATTTGGCAAGGTTTGCCAGTGCTCCAGCATCTGAATTTTTCTCGGAACTCTTTTCGTTTCTATTTCAGTATGGCCCTGCATTTGAGTAACTAAATGCTTACTCAAAGCAGTATCTACAATGTATTTGATGGTAACACAAGTTGCTAATTTAACTTTTTAAATTGTTCTTCTTTTTACATGGAGGTAGCTATATTATATTGTTATTTTCAACTTATTTGAAATAAAAACTTACGATAACAGTGCTTCCGATATATAATTCCCGCCAAGTACAGCAGCAAGAAATAAACAGGAAGTTGATAATATATTGATCTTCATATACAGGAGAGTTCCACATACACAAAAGCGGCATAATGCAAGAAGGAGGGCTAGAAAGGGCCCATGTCCCGAAAGATGTAGATGTTGCGGCAGCCGGCAGAGGTGTTTGGCTTGTGAAGGTTTGTTTTCTTTTTTTATCTAACGATATTCTTCAACTATGACACATTTGTCCATTCAAACAATCGCAATGAACGGGCCCTAGTGTCTATGAATCCACACCGACGGACAGTCACATTGCTTGGATGAATGAGTGCCCTGAGACATAATTATCGCCCATCAGTTCATTAAATTAGTTATTGTTATTCATAATCTATTGTATTAAATATGCACTTTACACCGCTGTCTAGCAACATGCAAAAATCATTCTGATTGAACGACTGAAAAGTATTGTTATATATATATACGCGGAGTATACACAACTAACACTATTATACAATTTTAATATAATCTAGATGAACATTGGAAAAACCAGTCACAGAAGTATTGTTTTAAAGAAAAAATGGAGGAGGTGTTTGAAGTAAAGCGGATCTTGGACAGAGTCCTTATGCTAAGGATTGTGGTTGTTAGGACTGTCTTTGCAGTTGTCTGCATCTATGCCCTTCAAGTCGTGCTTGGAGATGATGTGAAGAACCATTTCTATGACCAACTGCAAAGCCCTGTCACAACTGTTACAGCTTCAGAGGTACTCTTTGTGTCTGGAGACTTGAATGGTCACATAGGTAGTAATCCTGTTGGATATGAGGATTGGTCATGCCTTAGGTCAGCATAATGCAGAGGGTAAGAGGATCCTTGAATTCACCATCTCAAATAACTTAGTGATAGGCAACTCCTTGTTTAAGAAGCATCATAGACACTCGGTAAACTACCAGTCTGGCGATGTCGGAACTCAGATTGACTACATGCATTTTGTTGCAGTTACAGGAAGTGTGTGATAAACGTGAAAGTCATTCTTAATGAGGAATGTGCTTCACAACACAGGCTTATTCTTTGCAACCTCAAAGTTCAGGCTTCTCAAAGGTACAAGCGTAGACTTACCCCTTGCATAAAGCTGTGGAAACTCAAAGATCCAATCCTGAAAGAAGAGTATGCAGATGTTTTCACAACTAAGACGAGGAAAACCAAGGGAAGCACAGTTGATGAGATATGAAAAGCTTTAAAAGATGGACTACGTCAAGCTGCTACTGAAGTCTACTACCTGACAACTAAACATCAGTGGTTACTTGATGTAACAACAAGATATAAGTCAGCATGGAGAAAAAAGTTCAGAGAGCTGCTTACAAATATCTGCCTATCACAACAAGAGGTCGCCTCTACTCAACCTACATATTAAGACATGTGTTGCTGTATGGCTCTGAAACATGGGCAGTAACAGCTGCTACTCTTAGGAGGTTTCGGCGCAATGATAGAGCCATGATAAGATGGATCTGCCTTGTCAAACCTTTCCCATAGAGTGTCTTCTCGCTCAGCTAGACATCAAAGATATCTCAGAAATTGTCCAGACTGGCATGTTGAGATGGTTTGGCCATGTAGAACGCAGTGAAGGATGGATATCAAGGATCCGTACCCTAAATGTCACTTGTCATCGGGCCTTGGGTAGACCAAAACTGACCTTGGATGACCTAGTGAAACAGGACTGTACATCCCAAGGAATGAGTGACACTAATCCATTGGATCACCGAAGATGGAGAGGGAGACTTCATTCTTGACTGGACAGTCAGACCTCACCCTTGGATAAGGATTAATCCTAGTATTCTATAAGAGCCATCTACCATTGTATAAAAGACCTCTGACAATTAATGACAAATTTTTCAATATCAATAAACAAAAATCAATATGGTAAGTTTGCGGGAAAAAGTGTCAGCACCTAATCAGGTTTTTGATAACTTTTCTATAACATACTTAGATTCCTCTATGTATCTATAGAATATAGGTCTACATGATTCATCCTTGATCTATGTTCTCAATTAAAAACATGTTTCATCCTCCATTACTGACAAGCACACTTTTGTCAGATAAAACATCCTTCAGATGATATACTAATGAATGATGTAATAATGTTTTTATATGGTTCTAAAAATTGAATACTATTATCGATAATTATGGGTATTTAGAAGTCAATGTTTGACCAATACCAAAGTGTTGAGATGTTCTGATTGGTCGAAATCTACTCCCCATTTCTACCACAGGAAAAATTTTTCATGACACTTTTGTAACATAAAATACTAATTGGCGGAGAGAGGCCACATAACTGAGTCTTGATCCAGAAAAAAGTGGTAAGATAGATCAGAGGTACTGACTGTGAAAAGAACAGTAACTCTGGGATATCAGAAAGGAGTTTTGTGACACTTCTTCGCACATGTTCTATAGCTATTTTATCTCTTCTGTATGCAGGATTTCAAACTGAACTGGTATATTCCAATTGAAGCCTGATAAGTGATTTATATTGTGTTATTAACATGTATTCATCCATATATTCAAAAGTTCTTCTAATTACTCGAATCATTTTGTTTGCTTTTGCTACACAACCTGCAATAAGCTTGTTAAATTTGAGGACCTTATCAAAGATGACTCTTAAACCTTTTTGTTCACATGTTTGATATATATATCCCTTTCTATGCTTTCACATTTGTTGTATCTAAAACGTCTTTATTTGTGTGAGGTATGTATCCTACATGTCTCTGTAAAGTTGTAGCTGTCACTTCTAACTGCTTCTCTTACAACCAAGTTCACCAAGTCTATTTCTCTAGGATTTAAGTTACCATGGATAATACTGTGTGATCTGAGGGAGGGTTCATGATAAAAATCATCATTTAACTCTACATTTTGGTCAAATTCGCTTGGCGGGCTTATATTAATCCTTCCTATAATTGTCATTCTTTTTAAGTTTTATGCAACACTGAATGTGGGAATTCCTGTAAGCAAGTCCCATTTAGAGATTGCAATATATATTATATATATATGATGTATTGTCTTAGTTTTAAATTTAACACAGATAACCAACATGTACATTTTACACAGCCCAAACTGTAAAAATATTGTTTCGTTTGTTGAATTCATCTGCCATGATAACAGTCAGATCTTTACAACCTTACATGTAGATCCCAGGTTTGTAGTTTGAGTTCTGCCATCTGCAGCATTTACCAGTAAGCTGAGAAATGAGTCCACCTATACTGTGTGGATTCCTCATGACTTGCAGCTACAACATGGAAACCTCACCTCAGGATGACCCTGATATTTAACAGAGCAAATGAAAAGACTAATTATAATAAATAACCAACAATTCAAATGTACATTATAAGGTTTTAATTTTAATTTTTTTTCTTTTTTATTTTTGCAGGTCCCGAAGTATCTCTCTGAAAAATGGAAGAAAAGTACAGGAAATAATGATGTTGGAAAACTGAAGATAACTACATCCAAGTATGTTGTTTATTAGTCCCTAATGGGCGTCCTTCCTTCCATTTGTCCTTCTGTTGTTTATTAGTCCCTAATGGGCATCCTTCCTTCCATTTGTCCTTCTGTTGTTTATCAGTCCCTAATGGGCGTCCTTCCTTCCATTTGTCCTTCTGTTGTTTATCAGTCCCTAATGGGCGTCCTTCCTTCCATTTGTCCTTCTTCCTTCCATTTGTCTTTCTGTTGTTTATTAGTCCCTAATGGGCGTCCTTCCTTCCATTTGTCTTTCTGTTGTTTATTAGTCCCTAATGGGCGTCCTTCCTTCCATTTGTCCTTCTGTTGTTTATCAGTCCCTAATGGGCGTCCTTCCTTCCATTTGTCCTTCTGTTCTTCCATTCTTCTCCTTTACTCTACATAACTAACCACAGGAATTTTATGTTTATAATATCAGTTCACCTTATTGGGACAGCTTGTCGTATATCAAAAGTAGGTCACTCTGATCTATATTTTAACCTTTGACCTACATCATAGAAACAGTATGTTCTCCTACCCTTTCTGAAAATACAAGCTTCAAAGTTTTGGTTTTGAGTATGACCTGCTCAGCTGATCTATTGAAAAAAGTAAAGATGTTAGTGGGAGGTGGTAAGAAGTAGGTTGTTAATCTGTCACTTATGATGATACATTGTTTACATATACCACATGAATTATGTTTGTTTATTTATTTACTTAATTTGTTTTATTTTCTTATTTTTTGATGATCACTACTTTAGATTTCCCGATCAGAAGCCCAATGTGGTGTTCACACTGAATGACAGTCTCGCCAACCAGAAGATACCAGGGGAACAGCCTTGTCCCAAAGAACATAAGATGAAGCTCACAGGACTGGGAAATCAAAACCTTGTTGTATTCTCACAAATCCCTTTACCCACAACAAAAGGTGATCAAATTCTTTTAAATGTAACAAAAGGTAAATGAAAACAGAAACCCTGAAAATATTCTCAAAAAGGAAAGAACCTTTTTGTATTTTCACAAACGTGTTGTTTTTGAAACTTTGAATGTCAAATACTTGAAAGTCAGATATTCAAAAAAGTAACTTCATTTTTTTGACCCAAATATTGTCAATTAGAAAACACCATAAACAATATCAGATATCAAATATTTTTTTTTTGTTAGTTGAAAAAACCCATAAAATTAGTTATTAGATGTATGTATTTAATGTTTTATGTTTAAAATGGAAACAAATTTAATAACATTTGTGAATGTTTTACAGGGGAAGTAACTCTGGTAATTTGAAGATCACAGCTTATCACAAGCATTGTTGAGAACTTGTTACAAATAGACGTATAAATATATTTGCTTCTCTCTGCAACACATATATAAAATCATTGATTGATGATTACCTTTCTGTGTGAAATTAATCATTATTTACTCACCTGGCCCCAAGTAGTTTTAGTTCATTGTCATATCATTGCTTTGCACCATCATTTGGATCTTTGGTTCTTTGGAACAGTTGTGATCCCCACTGAACAACATAGCATTGCTGAGCATCAGGAGATAAAACACCATCATAATTGATGATCTGGTTCCACCCCAGGACAGAATATATCTTTGAAGCCATATCATTACATAACTTAATAGCATTGCAAGAGATTAACAACTGATTTCTGTCCTCACAACTAGGGAATTTGAAGCTGTATCTGTGGGGTGAGGTTCATCAGGGAAAATGTCTTCCTTTTAAAGAAATGTAAAGTTTTGCATTATTGACAAAAATATTCAGGTGAATGATACAGGTCCTCTGGACCTTTTGTTCATTTAACTGATTTCCACCAAAAATAATACTTACAGTAAGACTGTTGTTTTCTTTATAAACATGACATTGGTAAGTAAGGAAAATACATTATAGATCTTCTTGATATATATATACATTATGATGGATATTTTTGTTGATATATATATATATACATTATGATGGATATTTTTGTTGATATATATATATATACATTATGATGGATATTTTTGTTGATATATATATATATACATTATGATGGATATTTTTGTTGATATATATATATACATTATGATGGATATTTTTGTTGATATATATATATACATTATGATGGATATTTTTGTTGATATATATATACATTATGATGGATATTTTTGTTGATATATATATATATACATTATGATGGATATTTTTGTTGATATATATATACATTATGATGGATATTTTTGTTGATATATTTTTATTTATAAGCTATTTTTATTAGTGATGAGGTATCTATGAAATAGATTCTTGAGGTGGTTGTAATATGGTGATAAAACTCGCACATAAAGCTTAACACTTCGGTTCTTTTGTAGATGGAGAAGCTGGAATATCAGAGTCTATGCCTTCAGGTGATTATAGCGAGTTATCATAACTGTTTGTATCCTTTTCCAAATAACAGTTCTTGTTTCTAAAATTATTTTTTCATTTTTTATCAAAAACACACATTGAAAAAAAATATTGGTCCAATTATATCTTAAATTGTTTTTTTTTTCATTTTTGATCAAAGATACACCTTGTAAAACTAGCATTGATCCATTCCTCTCTAACCAGAGGTTTGGTAATCATGGTATATGAAACAAAATACTTATCATTGTTTTTGTTTTCTCTGTGTTGTGCTTGAGCCTTCATATGTAAACAAGTTTTTTTTTAAATTTTGTTTATTCAGAAAAAATTGCCCTAGAGGGTCGGGTCATTCAACGGGCAGAGTGTACACCCTTAATCAAGGACAACAAATACTTAGACCTTAAAAGGTAAATTAGAGCATACATCTATCACATAGCTACCATGTTGCCAGTGTAATAACACACAGTATGTAAATGTTCTTTATTACACACTTCTACAGGTTTGATATTACACTCATATGATATGACCTAGCAGGGCTGTGATTGGATGAAGATTTCCACTGATTCCATTATGACATAGCTGCGATGGTCATGTTCATTGTGACAACAAAAGAGATGTAGTCAGAATATCACCAATTTAGATTTTGTATTAAACAAGTTAAATCAATGCTGGTTCATTATCCTCCATCAGATTTTGATCAATACTGGTTCATTATCCTCCATCAGATATTGATCAATGCTGGTTCATTATCCTCCATCAGATATTGATCAATACTGGTTCATTATCCTCCATCAGATATTGATCAATACTGGTTCATTATCCTCCATCAGATTTTGATCAATACTGGTTCATTATCCTCCATCAGAATATTGATCAATGCTGGTTCATTATCCTCCATCAGAATATTGATCAATACTGGTTCATTATCCTCCATCAGATATTGATCAATACTGGTTCATTATCCTCCATCAGATATTGATCAATACTGGTTCATTATCCTCCATCAGATTTTGATCAATACTGGTTCATTATCCTCCATCAGATATTGATCAATACTGGTTCATTATCCTCCATCAGATATTGATCAATACTGGTTCATTATCCTCCATCAGAATATTGATCAATACTGGTTCATTATCCTCCATCAGATATTGATCAATACTGGTTCATTATCCTCCATCAGAATATTGATCAATACTGGTTCATTATCCTCCATCAGATTTTGATCAATACTGGTTCATTATCCTCCATCAGATATTGATCAATACTGGTTCATTATCCTCCATCAGATATTGATCAATACTGGTTCATTATCCTCCATCAGATATATCCTCCATCAGATATCTATCAGTACTGGTTCATTATCCTCCATCAGATATTGATCAATACTGGTTCATTATCCTCCATCAGATATTGATCAATACTGGTTCATTATCCTCCATCAGATATTGATCAATACTGGTTCATTATCCTCCATCAGATATTGATCAATACTGGTTCATTATCCTCCATCAGATATTGATCAATACTGGTTCATTATCCTCCATCAGAATATTGATCAATACTGGTTCATTATCCTCCATCAGATATTGATCAATACTGGTTCATTATCCTCCATCAAATATTGATCAATACTGGTTCATTATCCTCCATCAGATATTGATTGATACTGGTTCATTATCCTCCATCAGATATTGATCAATACTGGTTCATTATCCTCCATCAGATATTGATCAATACTGGTTCATTATCCTCCATCAGATATTGATCAATACTGGTTCATTATCCTCCATCAGATATTGATCAATACTGGTTCATTATCCTCCATCAGATATTGATCAATACTGGTTCATTATCCTCCATCAGATATTGATCAATACTGGTTCATTATCCTCCATCAGATATCTCAATACTGGTTCATTATCCTCCATCAGATTCATTATCCTCCATCAGATATTGATCAATACTGGTTCATTATCCTCCATCAGATATTGATCAATACTGGTTCATTATCCTCCATCAGATATTGATCAATACTGGTTCATTATCCTCCATCAGAATATTGATCAATACTGGTTCATTATCCTCCATCAGATATTGATCAATACTGGTTCATTATCCTCCATCAGATATTGATCAATACTGGTTCATTATCCTCCATCAGATATTGATCAATACTGGTTCATTATCCTCCATCAGATATCTATCAGTACTGGTTCATTATCCTCCATCAGATATCTCAATACTGGTTCATTATCCTCCATCAAATATTGATCAATACTGGTTCATTATCCTCCATCAGATATCTCAATACTGGTTCATTATACTCCATCAGATATCTCAATACTGGTTCATTATCCTCCATCAGAGTATTGATCAATGCTGGTTCATTATCCTCCATCAGATATTGACAATACTGGTTCATTATCCTCCATCAGATTTTGATCAATACTGGTTCATTATCCTCCATCAGATATTGACAATACTGGTTCATTATCCTCCATCAGATTTTGATCAATACTGGTTCATTATCTGCCATCAGATATCGATCAATGCTGGTTCATTATCCTCCATCAGAATATTGATTAATGCTGGTTCATTATCCTCCATCAGAATATTGATCAATGCTGGTTCATTATCCTCCATCAGATATTGACAATACTGGTTCATTATCCTCCATCAGATATTGATCAATGCTGGTTCATTATCCTCCATCAGATATCGATCAATGCTGGTTCATTATCCTCCATCAGATATTGATCAATACTGGTTCATTATCCTCCATCAGATATTGATCAATACTGGTTCATTATCCTCCATCAGATATCGATCAATGCTGGTTCATTATCCTCCATCAGAATATTGATCAATGCTGGTTCATTATTCTCCATCAGATATTGACAATACTGGTTCATTATCCTCCATCAGATTTTGATCAATACTGGTTCATTATCCTCCATCAGATATTGACAATACTGGTTCATTATCCTCCATCAGATTTTGATCAATACTGGTTCATTATCCTCCATCAAATATTGATCAATACTGGTTCATTATCCTCCATTAGATATTGATCAATACTGGTTCATTATCCTCCATCAAATATTGATCAGTACTGGTTCATTATCCTCCATCAGATATCTATCAGTACTGGTTCATTATCCTCCATCAGATATCTATCAGTACTGGTTCATTATCCTCCATCAGATTTTAATCAATACTGGTTCATTATCCTCCATCAGATATCTCAATACTGGTTCATTATCCTCCATCAGATATTGATCAATACTGGTTCATTATTCTCTAAAAGGATATTGATCAAACCATAAATATTATTTCAGGTTTGGTAAACCAACATCAGTTTTGAAGAAGACTGTAAGATGTTTCAGAATGTTTAATTTGTACCAGCAAAGGAACTGAACCTTTTTTTCCTTTTTTTGTCTTGTTTCAGACTTCATACAGAGGTTACCAACCGACCAAGGAGAGAGGTCATACAGATTGATACAGTAGTGGCATCATACAAGCCAGTCAGTAACCACAGATTTAATGTATGTATGACCATTCGGCTTTATTCATATTTGTTTTCATGGAGATGCTGTTAACACTCCTTAGACAATGATAGGTGTACTGAAGTGTCTATCATTCAGAGTATTGTGAAGACTTCTATCAAGGTTAACTGGTTTTCATAGCTGCACGTTCTTAAAGAATTGTATTATGCCATGATATTTTTCATTTTGCCGTTAGTGATGTAACACTACTAAGAATAGGTTGGGAGAACATTTTTCTTTCCATTTGGTAATTTCTTTTTTAAAAAAAGCAGATTATTATTTTGTCTAGTAAAGTTTGTCATCACTGTTTCTTAAGAAGTACTGAATGGATATCTCACATATGTAGGTTTCCCTTGATCCCTAGTACCCATTTGATTTTAGGACAGACAATTCAACAGTCTGTCTGTCTGTCCAGAATATTGTGTTAAGTATATCTAAAAAATGTACTGAAGCTATATTTGTTCATCCCTATGATATATATTATGTCCTTTCACTTCTCATTCAAACTTTATCAGATCTACAGCTAATTATAGCCTATGATTAAACATATTAGGTGTTCTAAAACTGTTACCATGGAAACACGTTAGAGGCTTCTTATTGGTCGAAATTAAGATATTATCTGATTAAGATGCAAATTGGTATAAACAGGATTAGGGGGATGAAAAATACAATGATACCTTTTCAAAAAAATAAAAATGTTTCCATTTGGTTGCTATGGTGACCAGATGTCAGCCTCTAGGAGGAATCTTGTTGGTACAACCCCTAAAACAATTGTTGTTTGGGGATTGGTAGGGTATTAGTCGGCCATTTTTGGGACAGTTCTAGTTATCACTATTACTGCAAAGGATTAATGTTCGAATTTCTTATCATTAAGAGCAAAAACAGAAAAAAGAAAAGAAGGCAAAAGATTTAATGTTCAAAGAACAAAAAAATGTAATAATGGTGGGCACCAAGATCCCACTGGGATCTCATGTTATAAATAATATATGTAAAGAAATTTATTTTGCCACAAACTAATTTTAACACCATAAGAATTTTGAACAAGTAAGTGCAATAATAAGGATTGCACAAAAGACTAAGGAAAATCCAAACTGATCAGAAGAAAAGTTAAAATGTAGACGGGAAGGTGCAGCACATTTGTTATAGTTGCTATGTTAAAGACATACAGCAAATGCAATTAATGCAGTCAGATTTTAGCAAAGTACGGGAAAAAGTGTTGAAATAAGATTATCACTGAAGTAGGTCAGTAATCAGAAAAGATGTATAACTCTTTAAGTTTTCTCTCTTAGGTAATGCATGATGAAAAAGTGAAGATTGCAGGAAAACGACTGCGAGCAGACAAAGACAAAGTAATGGACATGTTATTTAATGCCTTTGAAAAGCACCAGTACTACAATGTAAAGGACCTGGTGACGCTGACTAAACAACCAATTGTAAGTTCAAGTTTTGTCAAGTTTTGTTTAAGAGCCAGACCTACTTCATGACCGATATTATTTTACATTAAATAAAATTCATGATTTTCTATTTTTCTCGGGTAGCAAAAGTTCTGACTAACCCTGTAATACCGCAATTTTAAAGTAAATGGCTACTAATCTAACGTAATAAATAGTTTTAAAATCGAATTCAGAACGACTAATTCATAATTATGCGGGAAGTCCTGCCCTCTGACATGGCAGAAAGCGTGAGAGGGAAGCAGGAAAGAAAACATGTTTTGAAGAAAAAGAAGGAAGATGGCTGGTTCATACTCTGTATTGCTCTCCATTTGGTTCTCTCATGTAGTATCACTCAAAAAATCTTATTCATAAATACTTTTATCGAATATTCACTTTAGATAGATCCATTTCGCGATGCTGTATATGTTTGTTAACGTATCGTAGCCCCAATTTGAGGGCCTCTTTTCAATTTATCGTAATGTAATCTGCACATTTTTGTGTCATATCTAAGCATTGAAAGATGTGATCAATACATACATTACATGATTTCCATACAGGATATATATAGTATTGATTGCATTTATCGGTAAAATCTCTTTACAAGCGATGTCACATGGACGTACTACTCACCTCTTTCTCCATTTTTGTTTTGGTTCTGACCGCGTCTGAAAGTATCACATGACTTTTCTTCATCAATATTCAAGTTTCAAGTTCGAAACTTTATACAAGTCTTTATTTATATATTATCTATTAGTATACAACAACATTTCCAGTCAATAAAAAATGAAAAAATATCTATACCGGAGTGTGTCTAGCTCTTTAAATTTTGGTAAGAATTCACTTTTCAGGTAAAAAGTTTGAGACAGAAATAGAGTCAGGGGAATGTTTAAACAGCACTTCCTGCCTTTATCATATATAATGTCTTATTCTTTTTTTTTTTTTTTTTAAATGTTGAAATGATTCTTTTCCACGTTTTGTTGGTTTCAGCAGTAAAAAACAAAAATGATCATGAGGAGTTAAAGGAATATTCTGCACAAGCTGGCAAATTTCTGTTGGTTTTAGTACCTCTTTAGAACTTTTTCCAATGACTGTTAAAGCTATTTTCAACATCAGAATACTTTTCTGAAAGTTAGTTTGGATCACTAAATCAGTGGAAATACCCCCTGCCAATATAAGATTAGACAGTCTAATTTTAGCACATTCGGAAATCCCACACTCTGATCACTTATATTGTCCACTGTGATCGGAGTTCCAATGGGCATGCACAAATATTTCACTCTGTTTGGCTAATAATAGCCAAACTTATTGTAGCTCAATCATGGTCTAGACAATGTTTGTTAATCCTTCTTGCTAATTCTACATAGAATTTCTCCAAATTAAATTTCGTGAGTTTGAACACTGCTGTGTAATCTCTGTAAAAACATGAATAGATGTTTTTGTGAATTCTTAGCTCACCTGGCCCCCAAGAGCAGGAGGGGAGGGGCTCAATAGGGGAAACCCCATTACCATATATAGCAATGCTAGGCCTCAAGAAATAAACTCAATGATGTGAAAATTGGCCCTTGGGCCTGGCTCCACCCCTAGGGAGTTAGTTTCTGGATAATATCTTTGAAACAGTGGAGACTCCCACCCCATAACCATATATAGTAATGATGGGCATCAAGAGATAAACACAATCCTGATGTAAGAACTGGCCCTGGGGTCTGACCTCACTCCGAGGGACCCGCTTCTGTGGTAATATCTTTGAAACAGTTGAGATCCCCACCTCTAAACAATATACAGAAACAATAGACATCAAGAGATCAATACACGATTTAAGAACTGACCCTAAGGTGTGGCCCCCTCCCTCTGGATACTTAACTCCTGGGTTATATATCCTCGAAACAGTTGAAATCCCCACCCCATATCCATATATATACAGCATGCTTGGCATCAAAAGATAAACTCATTGATTACGTATGAATTGACTCTTGGGTTTTGAACACCTGTAAGGACATTACTTCTGCATCAAATTTTTGACATAGCTGAAATACCAACTCAATAACCATATTAAACTCTCTCCTAGCATAGAGAAAGAAAGACAGTCATGATATATGAATTAACACATTAGTCTTGTCCCATCAAAGAGATTAAGTGACTGAGCTTTAATTTGGAAATATTTGAAATGCCCAACCTATAGGTATATAGGTATACTATTGCTGGGCTTTAAGATCCAGATGAGCGCTACAGGCCCTATGGGCCTCTTGTCTGTTTACTTAAATGTCCCCTAAACTTGTACTCTCGTCATTTTTTCAGACATACCTGTAGTTGCTATATACTTGATTGTGTCTTTAACCTCTTCTTTTGTTCTTTTCTTTAGACATACCTGAAGGAGATATTGAAGGAAATATGCACCTACAATATGAAAGCTCCTCACCGCAACATGTGGGAACTTAAACCAGAATACAGACATTATAAGGAGCAAGCACCAGCCGATGGATAGCAGTTCTAGATTTGATTGGATGCCAAAATAAAACTGTAACTAGATCTTCTGATGTTTTCTAGACTTAAGTCAGTAAAGAAGTTTTTAACATAACTAGATTGTTTTGCGAGACGTAAAACCATTGCTCTTCAATAAGCCCACCGTCACTTAATGTCGGACTGTGGATACAGTAGCTATCACATGGTGATTCTAAGACTATCACATAAAGAGCGTTCTTATCAGAAGACCGTAGTTGTCAGAACTTCAGAGAAAAGCTACATTGCTGAATAACAGAGCTTTCTTGTTAGAAACCTGCTTTGATGTGAAGTTCTAAAAAAAGAAAGCCCTAAGTTTAATAGAATGGATTAAGCTTCCTTAGAGGGTATTTGAGACAGGTCCATTCAGGGAACTAATGGCTTCTCAGTACCATCAGTGACCCTTCTCATAAAGTGTCTCCAAGTGGTCCCAAGAGGGATCAACAGAATTAAATTTGGAAATTTTTATTTGTCCGAGATAAAGGTGAAATAATAATCATTACAGTATTTATCGTGTTCGTGACTTAAAGTGAAACTTTCTATACATAAGGTAAAATTGATTGACTGTGAACATAGCTTATGATACAATTTTTTGGTACTAGAAATGGTTATGCTGTATACTGTAAATGTACATATTTTGGACATAATTTATTTTAGCACTTTTCATGTGGAAGTACTGTGCTAAAATATGGCTGTGCTAATTGTAGTTTCTTTATATTGTAAATCTGCTGAATTTGTCGTGTGAATTTGTCAAAAAGACTGAAGTTTACTGTACATACATGATATAAATCTTGGGAGGGTGTTAAAATGAACTGTACAAACATCAGCAAGTGTTTTCAACATTGTACTGTGCTTCTTGTCTAGACAAGGATTGTATGTGGTTTTGTGTACTGTGCTTCTTGTCTACACAAGGATTGTATGTGGTTTTGTGTACTGTGCTTCTTGTCTACACAAGGATTGTATGTGGTTTTGTGTACTGTGCTTCTTGTCTACACAAGGATTGTATGTGGTTTTGTGTACTGTGCTTCATGCTTCGTCCGTCGTCGTCCGCCATTGTCTACACTAGAAGGTCTAGGGGGCTAATACTTGGCACAGAGGATACTGGCATGGTTTTGTGTGACTGACCCACTTTGTCACAGGGGTCTATGTTAAAATCTTTACACAAGGATTGTATGTGGTTTTGTGTACAAGTTTGTTTGACCTTGACCCACTCTACACAAGGATTGTATAAAATCTTTGTACTGTGCTTCTTCTCAATAACACAAGGATTGTATGTGGTTTTGTGTACTGTGCTTCTTGTCTACACAAGGATTGTATGTGGTTTTGTGTACTGTGTTTCTTGTCTACACAAGGGTTGTATGTGGTTTTGTGTACTGTGCTTCTTGTCTACACAAGGATTGTATGTGGTTTTGTGTACTGTGCTTCATAGCATGTCTCACAAGGATTGTATGACCTTGGCCCACTTTTGTGTACTGTTAAAATATGTTTCTTAAGCAAAAGTCTACACAAGGGTTGTATGTGGTTTTGTGTACTGTGCTTCTTGTCTACACAAGGGTTGTATGTGGTTTTGTGTACTGTGTTAAAATTCTTGTCTACACAAGCAAAATTGTATGTGGTATTTTGTATGCAAGTTTATTTAAATGTGATTCTTGAACAACACAAGGGTTGTATGTGGTTTTGCTGTGGAGCCCTACAAAGTTTGTTCAAATGAATGACCTTGGCCCACTTTCAAGGTACACAAGGGACTTCATCTTGTATGTGGTTTTGTGTACTGTGACCTCAACCCACTTTCAAGGTCACAGGGGTAAAATATGTTAAAATATACAAACGACTTCTTCTCAATAAGCAAAAGTCCAAGAGTGCTGATATTGGGCCTGTAAGATGCTTGGAGGAGAGGCTACCAAGTTTGTTCAAATGAATGACCTCAACCCACTTTCTAGGTTTGGCTTGCTTTTTGTCAGATGACCGTTAAAGCCCATGGGCCTCTTGTTGTATGCTGTGATTCTTGTCTACACAAGGATGTATGTGGTTTTGTATCTCTACTCAGGAGTACATGTCTTTTCCTTGGTGTTCAAAGTTTCGAAGATGGTTTTCAGATTTGTTACATTCATCAACATGATTAATGGTGAACTAAAACACAAAATGCTGAATATGTAGGGAAGCCAGTGTATCTCACACATCAATGGATGTAGAACTCTGACAACCATTCAATATTTTCACATTTTACATCTAAATCATTTAAAATCAAAATCATATTTCCTTAAAGAAAAAGAAAATTCTGTTTTTACACTTCTCCTGGAAAAGCAGTCAGTTGTTTGGAAAATTGTGGTTGTTGTCGTTGACAGTCAACAAAGACACATACTTACTGATATATGTATATATACATTATTTCATTTCTCTGTTCCATTACAGAAACAGTTTTCTCAAAATTGTAATATAATTGGTTATCAACTTTAATTAGGCAAAGATCATTGTACATGTTGATTTTGACACAGTTTGTCTATATTACTGTGCCAGCCTTGTCACATGTGTATGTTATTGGAAAGAATAAACATTGGGCTTCAAAGGTTTTTCATGGTGATGTGATGTGCAAATGTAAGTTAGAATGTATGTATTGTTTATAGAGTATACGTTTATATGAACATCTATTGTGTTACTTCTGTGCTGTTCTTTGTATATCATTATTTTTTGTTTGTATAAATGGTCTCGACTTTGTTTAACCAATTTCTATTTCCAAACCTTGTGATAGGTTAATGTGATGTAAACAGAAGTCACCATCAGTCTGTATGGCTGTTGTTATGTTTTGTTGAGTTAGTAGAGTTGTCTTGGAAAAAGTCTAGAAATTCATAAACTGATGAAATTTCTGTTTACCTGTCTAGTCTTACAAATTCAAATTCAAATTTTTTTTTGAACCTCAGATCCTACATACATGACATATGAGGATGTCCATATGAAAACATGGCGTAGTCAGAGTTAGCATGGTATACAATAAATAGTTGTACAATTAAAATGAGATGTTAAACACAGCCTTTGGTATCCACTACATTGGTCGGATAACAGTGGAAACAAAATAGACAGGTTTTTCTTAGTTTTCCGTGAAGAAATGGAATAATGAATTTATGTTTATCACGATAGTTAGGTGTTTCATAATAAACAGGTTTCTCTGCACAAAAGCAACAGTTGAATGATAAAAAAATTCTTGTAACATTGTGGATGTTTTATTTAATTTTCAGATATGTTCTGTTTGCAAAATTAATTTATCTTTTTTATGCGAGAGTTTGAAAAAGATTATAAAAGAATGATCATGAATATTAGATGAAAGATTGCGATGAAATGGGTTTTTTAAGGAGCCGATTTTTAAAATGCAATTTTACAGTAAAATGATGATTGTCAAGGCCTGTGTCAGCATTAATAGACTGTTTTTTCTGCATGTAAATGAAATGTATGTACGAGTATCTGAAACACATTCAATGGATGTAGATGGATGAATAGAACAATGCTGTGTGTCAGAAAATTCATTTGTCTTTGGGCAACAATGAATAAAACAATTATTGGAATTCATTTTTGTTTATTTTCCTTATGAATGAAAAAAATGAACAAAGCAAGAAGGATCATGCTGATATTGTTGCATACAGTCCAGGGCAATTTGAATAACACAACCAGATTAATGCAGACTAGTCTTTTTCTCAGCTTCACGTGAAACACTGAGTGATAAGGGAAGAGAGCATCATACCACACACCTCAGACTGTCACTGTTTGATGAATTTACTTTCCAGAGTCTCCTAAGATATTTTCAGTCATATACTGCATGTGGGGTTTTAGCTAACCTGGACAGAAGGACCGGTGAATTTATGTCATGGCCTGGCATGTGTGAATTTTTTAGTTGAAATGGATACTAGTCATTAACTACTTAACAGATTTTGACCAAATTTGGTCAGAAGCATCCTTGGGTGAAAAGGAATCAATTTTGCATAAATCATGGGTCAGTCCCTTTGGATGGGAGGAGCGCGGCCCAGTAGGGGAAATAGGTCAATTTTTTAAAAAAATAACTCTTATGAAGGAATATCTGGACTCTGTTACAATTTGGTCTCAGACGTGCTTTGGTTGAATATTGTGTATTTTCAGCTACATGGGGCATTAGGAGTGGGGTTCAATACTGAAAATAGAGTAAATTCTCAAAAATCCTTCCTGTGTTGATATGATTCAGTTTCATCCAGATTTGATCTATGGTATCCTTAAGTGAATTGAAATTTTCTGTACAACCCCTATGGAGAGGAGGGGCGGGGCCTACTTGGGGAAGTAGGTAGGGACGTTTTAAATACTTTTCCTTTAGTTTAGATTAATCTGTTTCAGCAAAGTAAACCAGGTTAGCGATACAAGCACTATGGGCCTCTTGTTATAGACTGTGTGAGAAGCTGTCAAATCTATCTTGTTGATTAAGGACTGATTTTTCGTCACCTGAGATGAAGTCTCAAGTGACCTATAGCGATTGTCTTTTGTCAAGCGTCGTGCGTCGTAAATAATTTACATTTTCCACTTCCACCAAAAGACCACGGGTCATTGGTTTGGGCCAATAGCATACCGGGACGAAGAGCTACCAAGTTTGTTCAAATGAATGACCTTGACCGACATTCAATGTCACAGAGGTCAAATGTTTTAAAATTTTGAAATGACGTCTCCATTACCAAATTCCCTAGGGGTCATGATATTGGGCCAGTAGCATTCTGGAATGCAGGGCTACCAAGTTCGTTCAAATGAATGACTTTGACCTACTTTCAAGGTCACGGGTGTCAAATGTGTTAAAATCTTTTAACGACCTCTTAATAAACTAATGACCCAGGGTCGTGTTATTAGACAAGCAGCGTGCTGGGATGAAGGGCTATCATGTTTGTTGAAATTAATGACTTTGACCTTCATTCAAAGGCACAGGGGTTAAATATGCTAAAGTATACAACAGTATTATCAGTTTCGTTTAACTGAAATTTAAACCTTCAAACCTAAAAACAATAAAACATTTGTATCCATATATCAGTTCTGTTCGGTCTGCCCCAATGCTGATGAACAGGTTCTAAAACTATCCAAACACCTGAAGACCTCAGGTGATCTTTAAGACCTATGTGCCTCTCGTTATTTTTACAACATTCATGATGTCATAATTGCAATGTGTTTCTGAAATTATGCCATGAATCGCGTTTAAATACCGATAAACTTCAACCAAACTGATACATAGACAGGGACGTGGATGAGGCAATTGAAGTGATTCCTATCGGATCTAATGCTTTGTAAAAAAATCCTTTTAAATGTGTATTGGTCGTACTGAGGGACAAGTTTGAAAGGGTGACTGTATTTGATAACCTTATTCATCATGCATTTGTTTCAAACTATTTCTATTCCTCCCGAGAGCTTAAAGCTACAAGGTATTTCATTTCTGATGTTTCTTTCATTATGTAGTCTTCTGGAACACAAGAGAATCAAACAGTATGACATTTTTATGAACAATTTTATCTGTAATTTTGTTTGTAAGGTAGTGTGTGTTTTTTGTGTGATGGGGAACATTTTTTACTTTTTTTACCAAAAACTTGTAGTAAAACGATGTAGTTTTCATCAAAATCGAGAAATAAACCATGAATATTATTCTTC